GCGTTCCGTGTCTGGGGATCTCGGGCGTTTGTCTGCGACTTGTCTGCGGACAAGCTCTCCCCCCGTGCTGCTCCCTGTGTCTTCCTTGGCTTCCCCCCTGACGCTCCAGGGTGGCAGTTCTACCACCCCTCCTCTCGTCGTGTTCTGTCCTCCCAGGACGTCACGTTCGACGAGTCCGTCCCCTTCTACCGCCTCTTCCCCTACCGCACTCCTTCCCTTCCCCCGCCACCGGACTTCCTTGTGCAGGTTCCCCCCCCGGTAGACCCCCCCCCCCTCAGGTTCATGCCCCCTCAGGTGTGTCCCAGGTAGACGCAGTTGACCCGGTCGAGGTTACTGGTGACTCTGGTGCTGCTGCGGGTGCTGAGCCTGGGGGTGCTGACTCTGGGGGTACTGTGCGCGGGGGTGCCGTGCCTGGGGGTGCTACTGCGGAGGGTGCTGAGCCTAGGGGTGCTGACTCTGGGGGTGCTGTGCGCGGGGGTGCCGAGCCTGGGGGTGCTACTGCGGCGGGTGCTGTGCCTGGAGCTACTGAGCCTGGGGGTGCTGCGTCTAGGGCTGCTGAGCCTGGGGTTTCTCCTAGTGCTGCGTCTCGACGGGAGCCCCTCTCTCCACAGGAGCTGCGCGAGTGGTTTGCTCGCCACTGGAGGCGTGCTGCTGGAGCTGGAGCTTCTTCGACCGTCGAGGGTGCTCGTGCCGCCGGTCCCGGAGCTGTTGGGCCTGCTGGTCCTACTGGAGCTGGGGCTGCTGAGGGTGTTGGTGCTGGGACTCCTGCTGTCTGTCCTGGCGGTGGTTCTGCTGCTGGTGCTGCAGGAGGTCCTGCCGCTCCAGGTGTTGGTGGCACTGGTGCTGCCGCTGAGGGTTCTGCCGCTGAGTCTGGAGCTGCCGCGCGGCCTCGGCCGTACTTCGTTCCGCTCCTGCAGCAGGCTCTTGGTCTTTCTCCTCCGGTAGAGTGTCCACAGCCTATCCAGTCGCAGTCACTGTTGGAGCCTTCCTCCCCTCTACCTGCTCCCTCTCCTTACACTGGTCCTACTGGAGGTCTTGCTGAGCGTCGTGAGCCTGCGCCTCGTCCCGCGTCGCCTGTTCGTGCTACTCGCGCTAGTGGTCGCGGTTCGCGTCAGCGTCCTCCTCTTATCCCTGGCACGCACCGGATGTCTCTGCGTCCGTCCACTGCTCCTCTGCGTGCCCCTTTGCCTTCTCCTCCTGAGTCCTCTCTTCCTGTGCTTGCCAACCAAGAGTCGGACTCCCTTCGTGCTGCCAGTCCTACTGTCGCGCGTCTGCTTGCCACTGTCGTCACTGACCCCTCGTTTGAGTCCACTGCTGCGTCTGCTCTTGTCGCTGAGCTCGTCGACTTTGCTGCTCGCTGTCGTCTAGACTACGCTGCTAGTCTTGTTGCTGAGTCTGCGTCTGTCTGTCCTCCGTCCGTCGGGGGTGAGTGTGCTCTTGGCACGGACGTCCTAGAGGACAGGCAGGAGGAGTTCCAGTGTCTGGCTGCTGCTTCACCTCATCTCGCGTCTGTACTGCTTGCTCCTGAGGGAGACCCGGATGCACTAGACATCCCGACTCCGCGCTCTTACGCGGAGGCCGTAGAGGGTCCCTACTCCTCTCAGTGGCAGGCAGCTATGGATGTATAGATGGCTTCCTGGAAGTCCACAGGCACCTACATTGACGCGGTTCCCCCTCCAGGGGCGAACATCGTCAGCGGCATGTGGATCTTCAGGGTGAAGCGGCCGCCGGGCTCTCCACCTGTCTTCAAGGCGCGGTACGTCGCTCGTGGCTTCAGTCAGCGGCAGGGAGTTGACTACTTTCAGACCTTCTCTCCCACCCCGAAGATGACCACTCTTCGGGTGCTGCTGCACATAGCCGCTCAGCGCGACTACGAGCTTCACTCTCTCGACTTCAGCACTGCGTTCTTGCAGGGTAGCCTGCACGAGGAGATCTGGCTGCGCCGTCCACCTGGCTTCACTGGGACTTTCCCTCCTGGCACCGAGTGGAGCCTCCGACGGCCAGTCTACGGTCTCCGCCAGGCACTGCGTGAGTGGCACGACACACTGAGGACTACGCTTGCGGCTCTTGGGTTTGCTCCTTCTACTGCTGACCCGTCGCTGTTTCTGCGCACCGACACTTCACTGCCGCCGTTCTACATCCTCGTGTACGTCGACGACTTGGTCTTTGCCACAGCGGACACTGCTGGACTCGCCTACGTGAAGTCCGAGCTGCTGAAGAGACACACGTGCACAGACCTGGGTGAACTGCGCAGCTACCTTGGCTTGCAGATCACTCGGGACAGAGCACGCCGCACCATTACCTTGACTCAGTCACACATGGTGCAGCAGGTCCTTCAGCGCTTCAGCTTCACGTACTCCTCGCCTCAGGCCACTCCTCTGTCTACCCGCCACTCGCTCTCAGCTCTGCCTTCGGATGAGTCCGTAGAGTCGAGTGGCCCGTACCCAGAGCTTGTTGGCTGCCTCATGTACCTGATGACCTGCACTCGACCTGACCTTGCATACCCTCTTAGCATTCTTGCACGCTATGTTGCCCCTGGGAGACACCGACCAGAGCACATGGCTGCAGCGAAGAGGGTATTGTGCTACCTGTGCAGTACGTCGGGCATGGGGCTAGTGCTTGGAGGGCGGAGTCCAGTGGTCCTTACAGGTCATGCGGACGCTTCTTGGGCTGACGACCAGGGTACGCAGCGGTCGTCACAGGGTTACACCTTCAGCCTTGGTTTCGGCTCTGTCTCGTGGCGGGCTACTCATTCGTCTTCGGTTCTTAGCTCCAGTTGTGAGGCTGAGATCTACGCAGGGGCCATGGCTGCACAGGAGCTTCGCTGGCTCACCTACCTGCTGACTGACCTTGGAGAGCCGCCTCGTTCTCCTCCAGTGCTGTACGTAGACAACAAGGCCATGCTGGCCTTGTGTCGAGAGCAGCGTCTGGAGCAGAGAACGAAGCACATTGCTCTTCGCTACTTCCTTGCTCGTGAGCTACAGCAGCGTGGACAGTTGCGGCTTGCGTACGTGGCCTCTGAGGCCAACACTGCTGATGTGTTCACCAAGGCACTTGCGCCTTGTGACCATCAGCGCTTCTGCACCTAGCTGGGTCTTGTGCCTGTCTTGCCTCACTTGCTCTTCTCTTGACTTTACTTGTACTGTCACATATATATACCTGCTCTTGCTTGTCTAGCTCTATATATATGTCTGTACTTGTGCATGTGAACTGGCCTTTGGCCTTGCTCTTGTGCTCGGACTGTGTGGTGACTTTGTGATCCACCCTGAGCTTTGCTTTGCTTTGCTTGACTGGTCTTGTGACCCCTTGTTCTCCCCCACTTTGCCAATGGGGGTGTGTCAAACTCATATGCAGAAGTCTGTGTAGGCTGTAGTGGGGTATCCCATAGGGGGTACAACCCAGTTAGGGTTTCCTATTTGTACTCACTTGATTCATAGTTCATTCATCCTCGTTCTATTCTCATCAGTTGCTCGGAAGTGACTTTCCGCAACTTCGAGGTTGATGTACCGCATACCGGGTTAGTTGCGTCAATGTATGCAGTTTGTGCTAGTAAAGTGGCAAAAACGTAGCCCATCAAGTCACTCAAGCACCCACAATTTTGAACCTTGACTTTGTTCTTGCGTTTTTTAAGTAACCCTACAGTTGCGTTTCCTTTGCTTTTCAGTTGCTTTTTGCGTTTGCCTTTTAAGCTAGTAGCTTGTGATCATGAACACGGGCAGATTACCAAGTCACCTGGCTGTCCCCGCGACGGCTGTTATGATCGTTGCTTTCCTGGGACTCGTTATAATCATGCCTGTGCCGCGGCCGTGCTCTGCGGTCCATCATGTAGCACAACCAGGTACTACCCTGACATAGTATGTCAACCTCCGCCCTTATAGTCACAGACGGTCTGTGCCAGAGCGAGTCAGACCAACTAACTCTGCTCTTATCTTCTTGCTTTCCTCTCCCCCCCTGCCCCCCTTTCTAGCAGCAGTCGGAAGGCCCACACGAAGCAATACATCGTGCATTTATCATACCGTGCCATCTGAGAGATCAGACTCACCAAATCCCTGCTCTTTCCTCCCTGCTTTTCTCTCCCCCCTTCCCCGATACATTGGTGTCTTCAGTGCTGTCGTAGTCAATGGGCTGACCCTCCAACTCCCTGCTCTTTCCTCCTTGCTTTTCTCTCCCCCCTTCCTCCCCACCTCTATGCTCGGAAGAGCCAACACGAAGCAATGCATTGGTGCCGTCAGTGCTGTCGTTCTAGGGGGGAGCCAAAGGGCTGAGACCCTCCAGATCCCTGCTATTTCTTCCCTGCCGTTCTCCCCTCCCCTCCGCCGCCCCACCCCCTTGCTCTCCTCCCTTCCTTTCATATTCGGAAGGCCCAACAAGCAATACATCGTGCATTTGTCTGAGAGCTTAGACTCACTTGCTCCCTGCTCTTTCCTCCCTGCTTTACCCTCCCACTCTCCGCCCCACCTCTCTTTTACCATAGTCGGAAGGCCCAACACAAAGCAGTACATCGTGCATCTATCGTCGGTGCCTTCAATGCTGTCGTACCGGGGGGGGGAGTCAACGGGCTGCGGGCGACAGCCACTGTAGATGATGAGGAGGACGAGTACCAGGACGAGGAAGACGAGGAGGATAATAACGAGGATTGTCAGGAGGACGGAGATGCTCTTGGTGATGGCAATGGTGGCATGGGTGGAAGCAGTGTCAATGGCACTGCACCAGGATCAGCACCAAAAGCAGAAGCAGCACGAGCAACAGAAGCAGGGGCAGCAGAAACAATGGCAGTGGAAGAATCAGAGTAGACAGGGTCAGAGTCAGGCGAGGTTGGCTTTGAAACCGATGTTCTGTTTGCAAGTACAGCTGCTGCAGAGGCGGCAATGCAGATGGCAGCAGTGGTAACCAGTGCAGGAGCACCAGCAGGAGCGGAGGGGATGGCAGGGGTAGCAGCAACAACATCAGCAGGTGGAGGAGGAAGAGGATTGGGAGGAGAGGGCGGAGGCGGAGCAGCAATGAGGGTGAGCGCACTGCCGTTTGGGCGAACCGGGGTGGATGTGTTGGTGGAGAGGGTGGGTCAGCGGCTGAGAAAGATGAAATCGGTGTCAGTTAGTCGGCGCCTGCTGGCCTGCGTTGTCGCTGCTGCAGTGGCCGCAGCAGCAGAGGAAGCTGCAGAAGCAGCAGGAGCAGCAGCTGCTGCTGCTGCCGGTGCTTCTTCTGTCACAGAGCCGTTCCAGAACTCCTCCTATTACCCTTCAGCTGTTTCTACTACTGTCAACGCCGTTCGTAGCACGTCAGCAGCAGTGCTGACGGTGCAGCAGCTGAGTGCACGTGCTGCTCGCATCATGCGCTCAACGCCGTGGGGCCGACTCACGCGACCCGACGTGTGGTTACCACACGTCCAGGCCTTCAGCCGCTTCCTAGAAGCTTCTCACCGCAGCCTGCTTCAGTCGCTCAAGATCCCTTCCTCAGCCATTTTCCACAGGTGAGGAAGAGGGGAAGGGTATAGGGAGGTGGCGGGGCGGGAAGGAGGGGGAAGAGGGGGTAAGTTGGGGGGCGGTATGTATGTGTGGAGGAAGGGGAAAGGGAGGGAGGGGTAGTGTGGCTGGAGAGCGAGGGTCTATTTGAGTTTCAGAGGTGGAAGTGGATAAATTGGTCCAATCAAACGATTTTTCCGGGCTTTAACCTCGGTCGTTTACCACAGGTGGGTTTGGGGACCAGGTTGGCAGTTTGTCATCGCAGCTGGGAGACGACTTGCCAATGCGGCAGGATGGCGACTTGCTAGCATTGCACCGGTGGCTTGCCAACGCTGCAGCATAGCGGCTTGCGATTGTTGCAACCACAGGTGCCCATGTGCACATTTGTACGCCTGACCAGTAAGTGCAGGTCGACAATCAAGCACGTCATTCACCGTCACGCACATTACGCAGATGCCAAGTATGCCAAATGCCGACTGGTCGCTCCCCGGTGTGCCACGTTGACCTCGTCGTGCCGACACGCAAGTTGACTTTGCTAAAACCTCTTGGACGACGCTCGTGCACCCTCGCAGAACTTTGTTGACCAGGTAACTTTGTCGACCAGGTGATGTCCTCGGTGTCCACATGTCGGTGTCGGCAGGTCAACGGACTCCTTCGTCGACCGCCCAGGTTGAAGTCGTTTGGCGACTTCATCTTGACGGTGGCATTGCAGTGATTCCGTGGAAGTCGACCAAGTCTGTTGACTTTGTTAGCAAAGTCGGGCGTCGATCACTGGCAGCAACCGGATGCACCACCAGCACACTCGACTGCGAAGTCGGCTTCACCCAAGTGAGGGCAGGTCAACACTCTCCTCCTCTCCTCCATTGCTCTTCCCCCAAGACACAAGCAGAGTGTCTTACTCAACTGCCCCAGTGCGTTGGAGATGCTCGTGCACCATAACAGAAGACTTCACGACGAGCATCCAGAAGGTGGTTGGAGCGAGGAACTTCTTGAAGTGAGTGGATTGGCCAGCTAAACATCAATGCACCATTTCCTCTCTTCTCCTCCCTGACGCCCGCACCTCCCCTTCTCTCCTCCTCTTTTCCCAGGACACAAGTGGAGTGTCTTACTCCACCGCCCCGGTGCGCTGGAGAGGCGTGTGCAGCAAAACAGATGACTTTACAGCGTGCAGCCGCAAGGTGGTTGGGGCGAGGTACTTCCTGAAGGGTGCGGAGCGGGCGTTTGGCCAGGTGGACACCATGGACGATTACCTGTCGCCAAGTGACATGCAGCAGCACGGCACATCGTGCGCGGGGTGAGTGAGTGAGACATGCTATTCGGTGCGGAGCGGGCGTTTGGCCAAATAAACACCAAAGTCAATTACCGTCGCCACGTGACATGCAGCAGCTCGGCACATCGTGCGCGGGGTGAGTGAGTGAGACATGCTCTTCCTTTCCCCTCCTAGACCTGCTCACCAGACAGGACATGCTCGCTGAATGGGAGTCACTGAATCACAGCATCTTGCATGACACCTCTGTCACATTATGGAAATACACCTAGCCCTCTTGACCAATTTCACACCCCGTCAGTTTTTCGTGAAAGCCCCCTTGACCTTTTTTGGGCATCAATCATTAAACACCCAAAAATTAGAGGCTATTCGCTGCAGTGTGAAGTGTCGTGGCTGTAAAAGCCTGACCCTGTGACCGCAGTGCAAAGTCTCCTGTGACCCTGTGACTGCAGCGCAAAGTCTCCTGTGACTGGATCTTGCGCTGCGACCGTATTCTTTGTTTTCTCGCTGACTTGTGCACAAAGTCTCAAACTTCTCATACTTTCAGCTACCTTGCATGTGACCCTTTCCTGGACCTTAAGGCCGATCATAGTGCTCCTCCAACAAAGGTGACCCCTTCCACTCCCCCTTCGCCATCAGAGCTGCTGCAGGTGTGGAAGTAACAATGAAAGGCCAAACTCATGGCACCGCAAAGGGCGGGCATGAGTGTTACAGAAATGCCACACCTGCTTATTCCCCTCCCTTCCAAATGTCACACCTGCTCCCCTCCCCTCCCCCTTCCCCATGAAAGCTCCTGCTGGAAACGCAGGTGTGGAGGTGAAAATGGGAGGCCGGACCTTCGGCACAGCCTCGGGCATGGCATGAGTGTTACAGAAATGCCACACCTACCTACCCGCCATCACTCCTCTCCCCTCCTCCCTTCTCCATCAGAGCTGCTGCCGGAAATGCAGGTGTGGAGGTGACAGTGGGAGGCCGGACCTTCGGCACAGCCTCGGGCATGGCACCGAGAGCCAGGCTGGCGGTATACAAGGCGCTGTGGATGGTCTTTGATTCGAATTATGGGGTGAAGGGAAAAGGAGCGACTTCTGACCTCATAGCTACTGCAGAGAAGGCGGTGGCTGATGGGGTGGACGTGATTTTCTGCTCGTGGGGCGACCTTGCCCTGTACTTCCAAGACCTGCCTTACTTGAGAGGACTCAAGGTGAGAGTTTGGGGTTACATACATACCAACCTTGGCAGCACGTTTTGCTTGCTTGAGAGAAGGCTGTAGCTGATGGGGTGGATGTGATTTCTTGAGTCTAGGGTTACATACATACCAACCTTGGCAGCACGTTTTGCTTGCTTGAGAGAAGGCTGTAGCTGATGGGGTGGATGTGATTTCTTGAGTCTAGGGTTACATACATACCAACCGTGGCAGCACGTTTTGCTTGCTTGAGAGAAGGCTGTAGCTGATGAGGTGGATGTGATTTCTTGAGTCTAGGGTTACATACATACCAACCTTGGCAGCACGTTTTGCTTGCTTGAGAGAAGGCTGTAGCTGATGGGGTGGATGTGATTTCTTGAGTCTAGGGTTACATACATACCAACCGTGGCAGCACGTTTTGCTTGCTTGAGAGAAGGCTGTAGCTGATGGGGTGGATGTGATTTCTTGAGTCTAGGGTTACATACATACCAACCGTGGCAGCACGTTTTGCTTGCTTGAGAGAAGGCTGTAGCTGATGGGGTGGATGTGATTTCTTGAGTCTAGGGTTACATACATACCAACCGTGGCAGCACGTTTTGCTTGCTTGAGAGAAGGCTGTAGCTGATGGGGTGGATGTGATTTCTTGAGTCTAGGGTTACATACATACCAACCTTGGCAGCACGTTTTGCTTGCTTGAGAGAAGGCTGTAGGTGATGGTGTGGATGCGATCTTGTGCTCGTGGGGAGGCATTGCCCTTTACTTCCAAGACTTGCCATACCTGCGAGGACTCAAGGTGAGAAAATTGCTACTTTCGCCACTTGCCAGGGCATGAGTTGTTGCTCTGCGTGTGATTGAGTTGACTTAGGAATAGACTTGCTATTTGCAAGGGCACGAGCCTTTTCCCTCTGTGTGATTGAGTTGATTCAAAAATAGGCTCACTACTTGCAAAAGCATGAGCCCCTTGGATAACTTATGTTACATAACAGCACTGGAGTAACCTTGATTGCACCCATGCAGCAATTTCATGCCTCCCCTTCTCACCCTCTCATTCTCACCCTCCTATTCTCACCCTCCCATTCTCATCCTCCCATTCTCACCCTCCCATTCTCATCCTCCAATTCTCACCCTCCCATTCTCATCCTCCCATTCTCATCCTCCCATTCTCACCCTCCCATTCTCATCCTCCCATTCTCACCCTCCCATCCTCATCCTCCCATTCTCACGCTCCCATTATCAACTCCCATTTTCAACCTCTCGTTCTCACCCTCCCAAACTCACCCTCTCATTTCGCCCCTTTATCACACCCTCCTATGTTCAACCTCCCGTTCTCACCCTCTCATCCTCACCCTTTCATTCCCACTCTTCCCATCCTCACATGTCCTTCAGGCAGGAGTGGTCACGGCCTTTGCAGCTGGCAATAAGGGTCGACCTAAACGCATGAAATTGCAGGGCACGCTTTCAAATGCCTCTCCCTTCTACCTCACAGTAGGAGCAAGGTACGGTTACAGTGCGGCGGAAGGAGGGGGGGGGAGAGTAACAAGTAATCAGAAGTTGGATTCTGAAGCATTACGGAGCAATACGGAGAGGGGGGGGGGGAGGGATCAATATGGATTACCTCTGATCATCAAAATCTCCACACCTCTATCCCGCAACACCTCTAGTCCCCAGCACCATCAGGTTGGTTTGGGAGCGCAAACCAATGCGGGCCCCTCCCCATGGTAGATGGCCTTTTGAGTCGACGTACAGGTCACCCTCTCTGTTCACATCCACCCCTGCCAACCCCCACAACCTCTGGTCCTTCCCACCAACGCAACAAGAGGTTAGGGGGGTACAGGGGGGTGCTCACCTTGAGTGATGCCATAGCAGATGGCTTCTGAGTTGACCTCACAGCATGTGAAGTTTGAGTTGACCCCACAGCATGTGAAGTTTGAGTTGACCCCACAGCATGTGAAGTTTGAGTTGACCCCACAGCATGTGAAGTTTGAGTTGACCCCACAGCATGTGAAGTTTGAGTTGACCCCACAGCATGTGAAGTTTGAGTTGATCCCACAGCATGTGAAGTTTGAGTTGACCCCACAGCATGTGAAGTTTGAGTTGACCCCACAGCATGTGAAGTTTGAGTTGACCCCACAGCATGTGAAGTTTGAGTTGACCCCACAGCATGTGAAGTTTGAGTTGACCCCACAGCATGTGAAGTTTGAGTTGACCCCACAGCATTCGAAGTTTGAGTTGACCTCACAGCATGTGAGGTTTGAGTTGACCCCACAGCATGTGAAGTTTGAGTTGACCTCACAGCATGCGAAGTTTGAATTGACCCCACAGCATGCGAAGTTTGAGTTGACCCCACAGCATGCGAAGCTTGAGTTGACCCCACAGCATGTGAAGTTTGAGTTGACCCCACAGCATGTGAAGTTTGAGTTGACCCCACAGCATGTGAAGTTTGAGTTGACCCCACAGCATGTGAAGTTTGAGTTGACCCCACAGCATGCGAAGTTTGAGTTGACCCCACAGCATGTGAAGTTTGAGTTGACCCCACAGCATGTGAAGTTTGAGTTGACCCCACAGCATGTGAAGTTTGAGGTGACCCCACAGCATGTGAAGTTTGAGTTGACCCCACAGCATGTGAAGTTTGAGTTGACCCCTCAGCATGTGAAGTTTGAAATGACTTACAAGCCACACACACCCACCCATCCCAACCTTCACAACCACTGCTGCTCCCCCCCTCAGAAGTATGGGCTGGGAAGGAATACACAGCTGTGCTTACCCTGGGCGGTGGAACCACCTTCACAGGGCGCACTCAGAGTATCAAGTGGAACCAACACAACACACTCTCACCCACACTCTTCGTCTCCCTTCCCCTCACCCTTGCTCTTCATCCCCCTCCCCCCTTCCCCTTCACCACTGCTCGCACCTCAATGCCATGGGGCAGGAGTACAAGGCGGTGCTCACCCTGGGCGATGGAACCACTTCCATCTCCAAATCCCCATCCACCCCCACCGCCCACCACCACTCCCCACTGCTCCCCACCGCAGCACCATGGGGCGGGATTACACTCAATTCCACCCTCCCACTCCCGCCTGCACCACTGCTCCATCCCTCATCACCATGGGGCAGGATTACACAGCAGTGCTCACCTTGGGCGATGGAACCACCTTCACGGAACGCATTCAGTCTCCCTTCCACTCAATGCATTCAGTCCACCCTCCCACTCCCCCCTGCACCACTGCTCCATCCCTCATCACCATGGGGCGGGATTACACAACAGTGCTCACCCTGGGTGATGGAACCACCTTCACGGAACACATTCAGTCTCCCTTCCACTCAACGCATTCAGTCCACCCTCCCACTCCCCCCTGCACCACTGCTCCATTCCTCAGCACCATGGGGAGGGACTACACAGCAGTGCTCACCCTGGGCAGTGGAACCACCTTCACAGGGCGCAGCCTCGGCGGCAACACTGCCACGGAGACACCTCTGCCCCTCATGCTCGCTGGGGGTTACACCACTGTGGGCCTCCCAGACGATGTGAGATTGAACGGGTTTTAAGATGCGTCTTGGCCTTGTTTGCATGGATGGCTGGTATGTCTCCTTGTGGTGAGTCACATCGTCTCAAAGTGCTCTTGAGTTGACTCAGAATGTGTCGTGTGCCGATGTAACGAGATGACTTTGAGTCAACTCATATGTTCTTGTGGCGAGGAGGGTGAGGTGAACTTTGAGGGCCATTGAGAAGTCCCAGCATCTAATCGGTGTTTTGAGTCGACTCAGAATTCTAATTGATGGCACCAGACAAACACGCTGCCACCTCTGCCCCCTCACGACTTTTCAGTCGACTCACGAGTCTTATTGGTGGTACCACACCGTGCCTTCTCCATCTTCCTTGCCGCCACGCCACCAAGTGTCAAAGTGCTATTGACTTTTGAGTAGACTCAGAAGTCACTTGAGTCGACTCAAATGTCACTTAAGTCGACTCAAAAGTCTTATTGGTGGTACCACACCGTGCCTTCTCCACCTTCCTTGCCGCCACGCCACCAAGTGTCACAGTGCTACAGCATAGCCCTTAGTGTGAGCTCAAGTCGTGGGCAGAGAAACTCCGCGTGTACACCGTGCATGCTTTAAAGTCGACTCAAGAGCCACCGTGCCTTCTCCATCCACCTCCATCCCAACAGGACCACATGTGCTACAGAGAGTAGTTAAACGCCACTCAAGTCGAGTTAACTTCAGAGTCGACTCAAAGTCAAGCCACCGTGCCTTCTCCGCCTCCCTTCCCGCCACCCCACCAGGCCTACCAGTGCTACAAAAGGAATCTAGATGCCACTCAAGTCGCGGGGAAGTTCCTCGTGTGTACCCTATTTGAACGCAGCCTGTCCGAGGTCGTTGCAGACGTGGACGCATTGGGAGTGGCTGCTGTACTCGTTTTGAATGCGACGGCAGAGCGCGAATCGCAGTACCGCATCCCGTTCTCAAAGACCCCGGCCATATTCTTAGAGAAAAGGCATCAGTGGTTCACTGAGGACTATATCAGAGCTGCAAGCAGGTGAGTACCTATTTCTCGTTTTAAACGTGAAAGCAAAACGCAAAATGCATTACCCTCATCCCCCTCTCAAGAGACATGACCATCTGCGATTCGTATCCCTCACTCACATAGACCCAGACTAAACTTATAGATTTATTGCATTTGTGGAACATTAAGAGACATACCAGTACCGAAAGCAGGTGAAGACCGTTTGTTCTCTCTGCCATTGAATTCACTGTGAATGTCCTTTACCAACACATTCCATCGGCCTTACATCTTCATCAAATATTCGTCTCTTGTGATATTCAGTCCTTCTCGACCCCCATCAACAAGCCCATGCCATGAACCTCTTCTCCCAAAATCTCCTCCAATCTTCCTCCTCTTTACCCCCATCCCTTCCCTCCTCTCTTGTGCCTCTCTTTCCTCCTCTTCTCTCCTCTCAAACCTCCTCTGTTCACCCCTCTACTCCTTCCGTTCCCGTGATTGCATCCCACTTCCCTTCCCACCCCTCCACTCCCACCCTACATTGCCTACTGTTCGACTCTTTCTCTTCCCCTTGCCCCATTGTCTCTTTCCCCTTAGCCCTTCCCTTTCCCTTCCCCCTTCTACTTCCCCTCCCCTATTCCCATTCCCACCCCTCGTTAATGCAGCTCCACAGCCACGCTTTCTGCTTTCACCGTCTCCTACTCCTCCACTTATCACTCCCCCCCTTTTCCACCTTCCCCTTTTCCCCAACCCCTCCTCTTCATGTCAATGCAGCCCCACTGCAACACTTTCCGCTTTCATTGTCTCCTATGCTACCGATGCCCCCCAAGTCGCTTACTTCTCCTCCACCGGTCCACCGCGCAGCCCACTCTACCCGCCCGCGCTTCTAATCCGCGACTACCCTACAAATGACATTCTTAAGCCTGACGTCGTTGGGCCAGGGTTCCAACTATGGGCAGCAGGTCCAGGTAAATCAGCTGCCATCGCTGCGACCGACCCGCCAGAGTTTGGTTACAAGTCCGGGACGTCTATGTCAACGGCGCATTTGGCGGGGATCATGGCGCTGATTGTGCAGAACAAGCCGAGTTGGTCCCCCTCGCAGGTGATTTCCGCGATAGCTACGACTGCATATACAAAGAATGAAAAAGGGCAGCCGATTCAACGGGCAGATGGAAAAAACGCGAACGGGTGGGACTATGGAGGAGGACATGTGGATCCCACACGCGTCTTGGACCCTGGGCTCACGTTTCATGCAGCTCACAAGCACTTCGTGAATTTCCTCATGATGAGGGATCCGATAAGAGCGAGGAAGCGATTCTGGCGCATAGGAAAGGCGCATCCAATTCTACCCCGGAACCTCAACCGCGCCTCGATAGCGGTAACTTGACTGCACGGCGTTACAGTAGTGTACCGCCGAATGAAGAATGTCTACAACTTACCATCTACGTATAGCGTGAAAGTGGTCCCTCCGCGTGGATTTTCCATGAGAGTTTGGCCCAAGAAGATCACCATTCTTCCTGGAAAGATGAGGGGTTTTAAAGTCACGATTACCAGGTTCTTGCCTTTAGATGCATTTAGGTTTGGAACAATCATATGGACTGATCAATATGGGCATTCTGTGCCGGTGGAGCTCGTGGTTAGGTCTCCCATTTTGCCGTGATTGTCATCATAATTGCACCATTATAGCCTTAGTGGCATGCAGGCCCTCAGATGTCAGCGTAAAACACGTTGATTGCGCTCATTTTGAAGCTCAGATTTTCGTTTTCCCTAGAAATTCAGCATATGCTTCAAATTTGCACTGAAATTTCAGTCTAACCTATTTTGTCGCACTGACCATTTTGCGTGTTACCGTACAAGTAACACTGACGAATCAGTATAGTATACCGAGTCACACTGATTTGGACATGATAGGGTGTGGGTGTACAGGGGGTGTTCAAACCAAGATTCCCGCAAAAAGGACACATGATACACCCACGAAGTTCCCACCTAAGGGAATCGAATCCGGGATCTTCGCGATCACAAGACATAACCCAAACAACTACGGCAGAACACCATTCGAATTTTGCTGTGATACGTAAAAAAACAATGGTTTAGTTTCCCTTAAAAATTCACACTGAAAAAATCAGCATATGTTGTATCCCCAAGGCTGATTTGGACAGCACTTTGGACATTGCACACTGATCGATCAGCATACCCTGAAACCAATCTGACGGCTTGGTGGCATGTCTCAGGCGAAATAACTGGCCAGTGGAGATATCAATGATGTACATGGCTAACTGCATTGCAAGGTTTCAAGATAATGGAAAGCTTAGAAGTACCGGCCAGTATATTAGAGTAAAGAAATAGGAAGATCTATGAATCCCAACAATAGACGTGCGTCGAAACAATTCATACCGTACTACCGGTAAGATGTTAACACGCATGGGTGATAATCACAGCAATATTGGATTTGGGAGCATGGCTAAATTGGGTAAAATGACTCGCATGGCCTCAAGACCGGGTCCTGGCTCCTTGTCTGGTTGTCGGACGGAAGCTGTAACATTGTCTAGCTTTTCAGACGAATTCTAAGTACCAGTCTGAGATTTCAGATGAAGATATATAGTTAGTCTTAATAGCTAGCAAGCAACTTTCCTACCCTTTATTATTTTTCAAACATTCTTTAAACTAAAAACATCCTATTCCAAGAGGAGTCACTAGCATTGCTGCTTCCACTGGCATCATCACTACCACTGCCACTGTCATCACTACCACTGCCACTCTTGTAGGTTTCCTCTATTGTAGCTCTGGCTTTGGCCTTGCTCCAGGTAGGCAGTTCCCATGCTGCTTCTTCTGCCGCTCTCTCTTTCTCTCCCTTGTTGCAGCCTCTTCCGCCTCTTTATGTGCGCATGTTGCTGCTTCTGTCAGATTTATATGACATAGCTGTTGTAGGCTATAATGGGGTAGCACATATGGGGTACAGGTTTCTAGGGTTGTATTTGTATCCAATCTTTCCTTAGTAATTTCATTCCTGTTCTTTCAACTTCACATGGTATAGAGCAGGTTCCCCTGTGGGAACTTCGCCTAGGGCCCACCACAAGATTTTTTTTTCCTGCCCGAAGCGCACTCGTTCCGAGTCGCGCCTCGGGCCTCTCTCTCACCGAGCCGCCCTAGCGGCTGACCCTTCGATCGCGGCCCCGCCGCCCTTCACTCTTGCGGCCCCGCCGCCCTTCACTCTTGCGGCCCCGCCGCCCCTTGATCGCGGCCCGCCGCCCCTTGATCGCGGCCCCGCCGCCCTTACCTCGCGGCCCGCCGCCCCTTTTGATCGCGGCCCCGCCGCCCCTTGATCGCGGCCCCGCCGCCCCTTTCTAGCGGCCCCGCCACCCTTTCCTCGCGGCCCCGCCGCCCTTTCCTCGAGGCCCCGCCGCCCCGTAGAGCGGTTCCGCCGCCCTTCCTCACGGCCCCGCCCCTCCGCCGAGCGGCCCTGCCACCGCCCTACCTGCGGCCCTTAGCCGCCCTACCTGCGGCCCTTCGCCGCCCTACCTGCAGCCCTTCGCCGCCCCACCTGCGGCCCACCCGCCGCCCTACCCGCGGCCCTACCGCCAACCTACCTGCGGCCCTTCGCCGCCCTACCTGCGGCCCGCCCGCCGCCCCACCTGCGGCCCACCCGCCGCCCTACCTGCGGCCCAACCGCCGCCCTACCTGCGGCCCACCCGCCGCCCCACCTGCGGCCCACCTGCCACCCTACCAGCGGCCCACCCGCCGCCCTACCAGCGGCCCAACCGCCCTACCTACGCGGCCCAGCAGCAGCCGAGCCGCCCAGCAGCAACCGAGCCGCCCAGCAGCAGCCGAGCCGCCTAGCATCAGCCGAGCCGCCCGGCAGCAGCCGAGCCGCCCAGCAGCAGCCGAGCCGCCCAGCAGCAGCCGAGCCGCCCAGGAGCAGCCGAGCCGCCCAGCAGCCGCCGAGCCGCCCGACAACAGCCGAGCCGCCCAGCTGCGGCCGAGCTGCCCAGGAGCCGCCGACCCGCCCTGCTACCGGACCGCCCGACCTGTCCTGTCTGGTGAGCACGGC